GGTGGACCAAGATTTGGGTGGGGCTTAGGTTTCTTCCACTTCTTTACCACCAAAAAGCAAGCAATAAGAACAAAACAGTGAGGATTTTTCTATATTCACGGCGAGCCACGGCATTTTGAGAACCGTTCAAACGAGAAGAGTCACCTTTGTCTTCCAACTCTTTGTTCTTAGTTAAATTTAAGCTCTTCTGGATGGTGGGGACGAAGGCCCAATGGGCGCATAGGTATCTGTGTCACTGGGGGAAAGTGTGTCGTAAACTTTCACCCCATTGTCAGGGCTGGGAGAGCGTGAGCCCGCTGTGTAGTGTTATATTTAAAAGTCTTCTACCTTTTTACAAGAAGAGTTTCATTAACCTTTTCGCAACACGCCACTCCACGTTGGCGCGCTGTTTTTATATTACCTCGGAACGTACCGCTCCTCTTTGGCGCGCGCTATTTCACAACCTTTCACGACGGGCCGCGCCACCCTGGATTCCCCTACTTGTGCATGCTACAAAAAGTTTGCCTTTTCGTTTTTCACTTTCAAACTTTCAAAAAGTATTCAGATACCATTTTGGAATTGTTTCTTGTTGTCAGAAGTTGAGTTGCTTGAACACTTTTCGATTTACCGGCGAATTTCTGAGGTCACTTTCCAGAGCGTGCCCGAGACGTTTTCCATACGATACGCTGAAAGTTGTGGCGCTAAGACCGACGCTGAGAAGACTCACTCTCAAAGGAGTCACGGATTCTATCTACATAGAATGGACCGATGATGAAGATGAGGATACTATGCCGGTTTAATATAAAGCATAACCGTTACATTTTTGCCAAAGAAGTAACCAGTAGTGAATCGAGAATGCGTGAGATTAGAATGCATAGACACTGATGATGAGATGATGGACGATAGGACCGCTTGTTGAAATTACGATATGGCGACGGATATGCTGTAGAGCTGTAAAGGAGAGTATAGAAAGACAAAAAATGAATACGAATAAGTGGAGGGATTAGAAGATAAAATAATGTGGGCTCGAAACACAAACAACTTTCCCCGCGCTTCTCAGTTTACTGGTACTTGTATTCGATGGAATCAAAATCTCACAACCCAAACAACCGTTTGCATCAGATATTTACTGGCTGATCATTACAGAGGCGTTTATAAACTTTTATAAAACTGAAAAAAACGACACGGTGGGAAAGGGATCAATGGCAAAGATCTGCAAACCTTGGCAAGTCGTTTACGTTGCAAAACCAAGGAACCAGATAATCTTGTAGAAATGGAATGCTTTTTTGTTCTCTATTTTCTTTCACATGGGTATACTCAAGATACTGACACTCGGCAACCACTGACCTGGAAGCCCAGGCTTGCACTCATCTGTCTGCTGAATAATGATGTACACGCAAAGAAAAGGTTTCTTGACAGTTCTCTCTTCTTGTTTCATATGTCAAACAACATAGCACAAGTGGACTACGGAGAGCTTTTTCATGACATAAAAGATAAAGCATTTAATTTATCTCAAATCTACAAGAGAAAGTTTTTTTTAAGACTTGTGAAAAGCATAACAGGACTTTGTATTGACGAAACCATGGCGTATTTCAAAGGCCGTTCCCGATTCAAGGTTTATAAATCTGAAGGATAAACCCACCAATGAAAAATTGAAACTAAGTGAAGTTTGCGATAGAAAATCATGGTACGTCTCTGTTCTCTAGTGATGTACTGTGTCAAAAGACGAATCCACGTTTCTCTTTGCAAAAAAACAACAAAAAAACACCAAAAAAATAAAAGAAAGAACCACTTTGGAAAGTTTTAGGTTTGAAGGCTCGAGGGAAGCGGAAACTTAGCAGGTTTTGGAAGTGTATAAATCAGCCCTGCTTTTGAAAAGGTGAAGGTGTTATGACTCAGGACCCACTCAACATACTACCCAACGCTACAAGCAGCACAGTGGTTGAGTGTGATAATGGCATCATAAGCATGAAAGGGTATTTATTGGCATTTTTTGTGCTATAAAATCGAAATTTTAATCTGCTTGTGCCGTCATGAGTGAGAGAAACGAAAAGCTGAAGAGGCCAACGGGCTTGGCTGCAATTGTAATATGAGGAACAAACAAAATAGCACGCTTTCTAATTGGCCACAGAAACTTAACGGAAGATTGTTTTCCTCCTAGACTACAGAGATTTAGACAGGTTTGCTTTCTCGGTGGATTGCCTGATTTTGTGAGTTTTGAAAGTGGAACTATCACTGGGACAATTGCAGGTGACCAAAACGGACTTAGGAAAATGGCTCTTTTTCTCCAAAACTCGACCTGGCAGATATTGCAATTAGACTCCATTATTACTGGCTCCCTTCCGAATTGGAAAAACTTCTTGTACCCTAAGTAGAGTCTTTGAAGTGACACCTGAATACCTTACTTTGAATCAGACTATAGTACTGAAGGCTTTCCAGTCTACCCAGTAACATTGTTTGTTCTTCATTTTTTGTTTTTGTTCTGTTCCCCTTTCTTCTCTCCTACACTGATCTTTGCAACATTGTATTTTCAAGACCAGACTTGTTTTGTAACATTACCATTCCCGATTCCTTTTCTTTGCTGTAGTTTGAAGATCTTCATAGGGCTTACATTTGGTTGAATGGTTAGGGAGAAGCTATTGTAAAGAAAACACAGATGTCAGGAACATGTAGGAAAATACAGGATTGACAAACCCACAGAATATTTTGAAGGAACACAGAAAACAATAATTATCAATTTTGACAGAAGAAAAACACATTGGCAAATTGTGTTCCGGTGGTCAACATTCATGAATCTTAACTCATGTCTCTTTACTTGCAATAGCAAAGAGTTTGACGATAACACCACTAATGTCAGGAGAGAGAGAGAGAGAGAGAGAGAGAGAGAGAGAGAGAGAGAGAGAGAAAGAGAGAGAGAGAGAGAGAGAGAGAGAGAGAGACACACACAGAGACAGAGACAGAGACAGAGACAGAGGAGAGAGAGACATAGAGACAGAGGCAGAGACAGAAAGGAGGGGGGGGGGACAGAGACAGAAAGAGACAAAACATGTCCGGCATAGATAATTCAGGTGAACAATTTTATACTTTTCCTTCTTCCTTTTTTTTTGGATAAGTGTCTTACGACCCTCACAGATGCACTAGGTCATGGACGCGCAGGACGCATTTTCAGTTTGGTAAGAATTAATTTTGAATCTTGCCCAGGGAGCGGCTGCAGCCTCCTCTTATCGATTTTAGGATCATCAATGGATTTTTAACGTGCGCAACCTGCACACGGGATCCCCGAGTTTTTTTTGTCTTTATCCGAGAAGACTAGGTATTAGATCTTACCTGCCCTGCGATCAGGGGTGTAGCTGAAAGACAGCAATAAGGAGCCAAGGAGAAGCAGTAGAAAGGCAGCAGAAAGAGTCCAGAGGGGGAGGCAAAGGGGTAGAGCGTGGATAGGGCAGAAAGTGAAGACGAAATGAGACGCAAGAACATGATCAGAGAGCAGAAAAGAAGTCGAAAGGATACATTTTTTTCAGAGAAGAACATTTTCCGTCGCTTTCAGGTTTCGAACCCGGGACCTGTAGAATGAGAGGCGAACTCCTTACCTCTAGACTACGAGAACCCGCATTTTTCTTCAGGCGTAAGTTGATGAAGTGTTGGAACCACTTATTCTTGAGAAAACACCAGGAGAAACAGAGGGCAAATGTTGTCAAGAAATAGGTACTCAAGCTGGTGGATGTAATCATGGGGTCCAGTAAATCTGACGCTATTAGTTTGTAACATTCCTAACTATGAAAGAGGCATGTTCTCAAAGAGTGTCAGTAGGTTGAAAACAACACCATGGATACAGAACCTTCAGGTGGCAGTAGGAAATGTGCACAGAGCTGGGATGTCAGCAGTGCACAGAAAATGCCAACAGAAAATAACATTACACTAGGGCTCAAACTGCAAAGTTGTACTGTATCGTGGCTGCTTTGAGGTGTACAACTCAACTCTGAACCGAAAGAAGCAGCTGACTCACCCGATGCTTCAGTATATTGAGTTGTTCATTAAGCTGCTCACAACAGCACATTTTTCACTCTTTAGGTTGATTTTTCTATTGGTTTTAGTTGAATTATATTTATCATGGATCACGCCTGTCTGAACAGGCGTTAAGATCATTGAAGAATAACCATTGAACTGTTTAGTGTGTGTATCGGGGTGTAGAATTTGTTTAGAAAACTTTTCTTTTTTTCAGCGTCATACGCTCTTTTGTACAGTTGACGACTTTTGTCAAATAAAGTGAATGTGGTCCTAAAAAATATGTTTGTGTTAACAAAGATTTGAACTTTACTTTAACACCAAATACAAACATGTGCGATTTAAAATCGTTGAGATATGTTTCTTTGAAAATAACCCAAAATAGCGCGTTTCCAGGGAATAGAGCACATAAAATAATGGCGTTCTGAGGGAATGCGCACGATGCGAAAAGGTTAATCACGTTTTCAATATTTAAACTCTCGGAAAGGTTAAAAAAAAGACTTATTAATATGCAATTTTAAAAAGAAACTAATGCTTTGTAACATATTGTCTAAAACATTTACGACAACACAAAGAATCGTGACGTAGACAGCTTTTTTGTTTTGTTTTACTTTATATACTATGTGACGCAGCGCGGTGAAATCAGGCTCTCGTCAAATTTTGGACATGTAGAGTTATTGGTATCATCTTAAAGCTTGTTCACTTGTCTTTATTTTGGTTGAAATAGATATCCATTTATCTTGAAAACAAGTCGAGATATTTCCGAATAAAGGAGGTGGGGGTCACCTGTTTTTAGAAGTAAAATTGGTGAGAAAATGGCCGCCAAAGATTAGTTATTTCCTTAGCTTAAAAGTCCGTGGTAACTGAACATTTACATTTTTTGTGCCTTTAATCAACGTTTTTCAGAAAAATTAACCCAGAAACGAGTTCTTTAATAGACATGAAAGGTGTTGAGTCAAAAAAACAAAAATTCGATAAAAATTTTAAAAACCTGCTGAAAAATGCAAGTTTCTTCATTTTGATTATTTTGACGAGAGCCTGATGCCACCACGCTGCCTCACATATTCAATTACTAGTTTCACCTAACTTAGATGAGTCAGTCTGTCAAAAGAAGACATTTACCTGTGAAAAGATAAAGTGGTTGTTGATGATTCGCTGTGTGTCAGAACCATTTTCTCCTTCGACCTCCCGAAACAGTCATACGTCAAGTCATATTGACTCTCCTCGAAATCTGAAAAACAAACCCCATCAGGACAGCATGAATTCCTTTTTGCTTATTTTTTGCCCAATCTGTCTCTCTCTTCTTTTTTATTCTCTTTTTTTTTTGGGTATGTGTTTTACGGCGCTCGCAACTGCATACGGTCATGTTAGCGCTTAGGACACATTAAACATTTTCAGTTGGTAGGAAATTTTGAATTTTGCCCGGGTAATAATAATAATAATAATAATAATAATAATAATAATAATAATAATAATAATAATAATAATAATAATAATGATGATGATGATCATGATTATGATGATGATAATAATAATAATAATAATAATAATAATAATAATAATAATAATAATAATAATGATGATGATCATAATACTATCTTATCGATTTGGATCATTGCCAAAGAGACTCTTAGGCACAATGGAATTGTAAATGGACTGAATATCATCCTCATAACTGTGCCTGAACTGCAACAGGGAACTGCTGC